CAATTGCCAGGGCAGTTTAATAATATCCTCATGAACATTTAAAGCATCGGTCATTTTTTTGTATTTATAAAACAAAAACAATAACCATGGATAAATGTACTTACAATAAATGTAATGATTTCAATATCAATATTTCCAGAAAAATATGAAACAAGTAATTGTTGTCAATTTTTATGACTAAAACTAACCTGTTCTGGGGCATCAGACGTAATTCTTATTAACGCTCGGTTCTCGCTGTGTCATTTCATTGCGTTTGTTCACAGACCCGCGAAGATTTGCACCAATCAGATTAGAAAAATTAGCCCAGTTTGAGCCTCATTTCTTAACTCAGAAATAGCAACAAACTACTGTTTTTTTTATCGTACAACTCACAACACAACTTAAAAAAAATGTAGCACGCTAAACTACAAACTACGAAAAAAGTAGCGACAGCAGTTTCGCTACTTATAGCACACTACCTCCGACTACTGTAAATAAAATCTTAATAATTTTTAAAAGCGCAAAATTATAAAAAAGGTAATGATAATTATCCTCAACAAATAATAATTATAAATAAAATAATAATAATTATGAAATAATGTTTTAATTGTTTTAATAATAAATACGATTATGACAATCACAGCTAAAATTGTATTCTAAATGACAATCATAAATAACATAACATTAAAATAGTTATGGTTTTAACCCCTTAACGATCGGTTAATTTTCAAGAAAACAATCATAAAAGTGCCTATTTTTTTGGCTTTTGTATTTATATTACGTATTTGAATAGTGCTGCAAGTAGTTAAAAATAAGCTAACTATCTACAATTACCTTAAAAATAACCTGGTACTGCCATCAGGTGTGTAAAATGAGAAATAAAATTTTTTCCGGGCAAGGAAATGAATTAGTTTTATACTTATTGGCGAGTTACTACTGAACACTCCAGCCCGTCAATATCACGGGAGCGAGAAATAGCGGGCGGAATCTCACCCCGTCATTTTCACGGGAGCGAGAAGGAAGGGGTTAATATGAAAAATTAAGTATTTAGTTTTCGACATTCTGGCATTATTACTCTAACTTATTACTATGTTTTCATAGTGTATATCTGAAATAGTCCCCCATTGGACAGATCATAAAGATAAGGTTCCCAGTAGAAAACCGAAGTCAAGCATCACTGGCTGCGGTCAGTAGGCTGGTGGGTGACCACTTTGATCAACCTGCGTAGGGAGCGAGAGTGCTTGGGCTTTTTGATTTAAAATTACTTTTGTATTTATCATTGAACTGATAGTAAATATTAGCAAAAAAATATAAGGTTCTCTACACTTAATAATTTATAATGATTAATAAAGTTATAATTAATAAAGTAATACTAAGAAAGAAAAAAATAGTTTACATAAATAGAATTTGAATAAAATTATAATGCATAAATATAAAAGGCTAACGCAGCTTCTGGAAAGGGGGTAAATTTATTTTTTACCGATAGTAACGTAACACGAATTATTTGCGCTAAAAAACGAAAATTTAAATAAGTCAGAAAATTAAAGAAGCAATTTGTACCGCAATGGCCCAGTGATACTGCATCCGTATAATTTAAATAAAAAAATAGACTGATAAAATACCAATATATGCACTAATTAAACACACTTTAAAGTTGTCGATACATGTATACTATTCACATTATAAGGGCACTGAGAAAAAAGTATGGGCAAAACTACCAAAATATGGTAAAATTTACTCTGACTCTACGAGAAAACCAAAAAACCTGGTGATCATTTCCGAAGATTTTGGTAAAATTAACAATAAAATGTAATTTTATAAAATGTGATAAAATTTGATAAATGTGGTAAAATTTGTTAAATTTATCATGATACCTAAGAGCATGTCATAGAAACCTGGTGAAATTTACTTTTCAGTTTTGTATTTTTTACAAAACGTGTGGTAATAAGAACTATAATTATGGAAACCAGAATTACTGACAAACCATTACTGTGTAAACAGAAAATTTATCAAATGAATGGCTTAAACAGAGTATATTTTGGTTTTATTAACCAGAATTTTTATTTTTTTCACCAGAAATTTAATTACCATTCAGTACTGTAATTTTACCAGACTTTTTTTTCTCCATATGCCTAATATTTCCAACAAATTTGTATTTTTCTAGTAACATTATCTATTTGTAACTGCTAAAAACAAATACATTTATTTAAAATTGAATCATTTATTTATTTATTAAATTTAATATTACTCAGGTCACGAGGTGAGTATTTAAATCAGCTTTAGACTTTTCGTTCGATTGTATTTAAGTGACAGTTATTTGTATAAATTGTGTATTTCTTTCCTTCCCATTCAAACAACAATCAATCGAAGTACAGATGATTGATTACTTAATTTTTTTTTTAATTTGAAGCTTGCAATGTTCATTCTCATCACTTAATACATTTTAAAACTCATATATTTGATATCGACTTACACTGTTAAAATACCGAATCAAATCACAGTAAATTACCGGTGATTTGAGTGCTTGATTCGTAAAACCTATTTTAGCAAAAAATCCATTTTTACTGTTAAAAATTATACCGTAATTTTTACAGTAATATTTATTTAATTGGAGTGATCCAGTGATTCTACGGTAATTATCACTGCAAAAATTACGGTATATTAGATTTTTTGCTCCGTAGCAAGTAACGGTAAAAATGGAAATAAAAGAACAAAGCAATGTGTAACATGTTTTGCGTAATTTTAAATTTTGAACCCTAAACATCAGCTTAATTTTGTTTGTAAAAGACGCAAATTTCCTTAATCTTACTTAAATTTTCCTTTAACGAAAGCGAATAATATTAAGTTTCTTGTACAGAAAATTCCAAATTTTTTTACACATTTATAATAAATTTACATTTTACTATTGCATGTAATACTTCTTTCAATAACTTGGGACGGATAAGTTTGCTATCCATGTTCTGTCAAAATTCCATACTGTTTTGGATTATATACAAGCATATTGTCGAAACAAGACTATTTTATAGACGATTTTATAATAGTATTTTCTGAACCAGTGAAGCAAGAACGGCCGCAAGATGATCTGTGAGGAAAACTGTGATAACATGGGTTATATAAACCCCTAAACGAAGAAAAATCATTCTGGTAAATTATTATACCGTATGGTAATGACATTTCCAAAAAAAACACATAATTCTTGTTATTAAAACCAAAATATAAGGTAATTTAACCATTCATTTATATTTTAACCGTTCACATGGAAACAGTTAACCGGAAATTCTGGTATTCAAAATTATAGATTTTAGTTTCGCTCATTTAGTAAAAAATACAAAACTGTAAAATAAGTTTAAGGATAGAAATGGATTTTTATGCCGCACTTTAATGATAAAATTACTAAATTTTACAACATTTACCAAATTTTATCACGCATCATAAAATCACATTGTTTTGTTAATTTTACTAAAATCATTCCGTAAAAATTACCGACCCATAGTGTCAGAAACACGATTACAAATTTTACCATATCCTAGTATGTTTGACAATACTTGTTTTCTCAGTGCAGAGTATTAAAAACTAAAATTTTATAAACTGAAAACAAAACTATCGTAACTATACGCAAATAAAAATAATTTTATATGACTGTAATAATATTATAAAAAAGGACATTAATTATAAATAAATCGGAATAATTATTTGAAAAATAATATTAAATATAAATGAAATAATTAAAATTTGTATTATGTCAAATTTAGTTTCGCTTTTTAAAAAGCGTGAGAAACAAATTTTAGTGACTTACAAAATGCACATTTGTGGAGGAATATTAAAAGCTGTATATGTTGTCAGCGTACACGAAATTACAATTATTAAGTAGGATTTTTTACAGCATATATAGCTATTTGATCAGGTTAATTTTTTAAATACTATCGAAAGTAGTGAGTTAATTACATTAAAATCTCAGAAGAAATAATAGTGAAACATAAATAATTTATTTGTTTTATTCAGTTGCAAATAAATAGTTTGGCAAAATGCAAATTTTTAGGGAATATTAGGCATTTATTATGTCGACAAAAAATATATGGTGTCAATTTGTTAAGTGTCGTTAAATACTGCATATACAGATATTATATCAAGTTTTTTTTTAATGCTATCGGGCGTAGTTAGTGACATAAAAAAAAACAAATTTGTGGTTAACAATAGGTATGCTTACTAGATTGATGATAATTGTGATGATAATTCTTAAGTGTGATTAAGTATTACTTAAACAGATATCTTATCAGGCTCCTTATTTATCGAAAATTCTACCGCACGTTGTTAGTTATCTTTAAGTTTTAAAAGAAAAAAACATTTAAATACAAATAAATAGAGTGGTTTGCAATATATNTATATATATATTATGCTCGAAGTAGTTAGTTTCCTTAATGTCTTAGAAGTAATTATGTTGAAAAAAAACAGATAAATTTATTTGTGCTTTATCAGTTACAAATAAATAATGCTGCTCACTAATTCAAATTTGTGGGGAATATTATGCACTTCTTACTTGGACAACAGACATGTGTTGATAATAGTCAGATGTTACTAAAGAATGCAAAAGCATTGTAAAAAATTCTGGATGAAATTACGGTATAAAATACCGGCACTTTGGGTGCATCATCCATAAAATCTATTTTAGCATGAAGTCCATTTTTACCGTTAAATGTTATACCGTAATTTTCACAGGTAAAAATTGCGGCATATTATATCTTTTGTTCCGCAACATCTTCCGGTAAAAATGAAGTTTACGGTGAAAAGTATCAGAACCCTGAGTGCTGGTACTTATTAGCGTAATTTGATACGGAATTTTTTTATAGTGTACCAATTCGAAGCGTGAAATTTTTTGTAAAATAATTGCTTTGCGTTAAAAATGAAAATGTTGGATTTCATAAGTACCAATTATCAGTGTCAAATTGACAAATAAAATTGTGCAATATTCATGACAAATAAAATTGTGCTAATTAAATTAAACCATAATTTTTTTTACTCACTGGTGTCGAAGTCCACGTCTTTTCCAGTGATGTCTTTAACTTTCCGCTTAATGAGATGTATACGCTCCTGCCTGAGTTCTTGAGCTTTGGCCTTACTTTCTTCAGTGATTTCTGCCAAATCTTTGGATATCGTCGTATTCAGCACCTGTGGATGAGGACAGCGTTGTATAAAAAAACGTTCTTCAGGGGTAGGACCATAGCAGCTACATTTAGGTTCAGATTTGTCAATTTCTTTCCCACGAAATACCTCATCTTGAAGCCGGTTTTCTTCGAAATAGTGAATACCTGGATACTTTTCATTGGTTTCGCGGCGATCTCTTCGGTTGGTAGATTTGATGTCTTCAGGCTCTGGAGTTGCATCATCATCTGATACATATCCATCCCCGCATATATTTCCCATTCCCCACAATCTGTGGTAGTATATTCTACATTTTGCGTTGCTTCCAAAAAGAAATGTTACTGAGAAGATTGTAACTGGTTTTTGAGAGCCATCTAAAAAATTTTGAAAGGAGTGGTAAACTTTTAATACAGCATTGTAGGCAGTATTCCAATTCTGAAATAACATAGTCAGGCGTGGTAATACTGAATTGGTCATCAACGTCCTTAAATTCTTTTTGAACTTAAGTCCCATACAACTTGGAATAGTTTCATTTTTAAATGTTGGAGTTTTGCTCGGTTCACTGTCGTTTTTCAACAATCTATGTCAGTTTTCATTATCAGCTGATATCTTTATATAAATAAACGGAATTTGAAAGGTCACAACAGAAAGAATCTGTGTAGAAAGAATTAATTGTACAATTTAAAAACAAATCCAAGCATCCATTGGTTCACAAGAGAATCTTTTTCGAAGATTTCTAAATAATTTTGATTGTATATCGGTCAATTCGAATTGTTGTTTACATTTAAGAAACTTGTTTATTATTCGTATTGTTAGTAAGAGATGCATCGGTTAAGTGTTTCAGCTAGCTGGTTATCAACCACAATAAATTGTAACATTTTCGTTATAAATATTTGTTGCACTTTTCTCTCACTGCTTGACATTTTGTTTACTACTGTAAAACCTATAAACACCAGTTTAATTATACACGCCGAAAAAGCACAAAACTAAAAAAATGCGTTACCTTAAAACACAGACAAAACCGCGTTGAAATAAAAGAAAAGGTAATAGTAGGTTAGAAAAGAACCAGTTAGAAATGGCTAACCCGAATAATAACTATCATTTATCTAATACCAAGTCAGAATAGATAAGTAACAACGTGGTGAGATTGCTAATCAAATTCAATGTCTGAGACGTTGTCATGGTCCACGCATGTCATCGCTAAGTTTGTGTCCTGACTGCTTCTTCGAAACATTATCGACCTATTACTACGAACATAGATCACGTGACCAGGTGAAAGCAACAGCACTTAGATACCACACAAAAATCTCTAACTCTTATCGATTTCAATTTTTTTTTCTTCCCCACAGAATGGACAGTAAATATTAACCGATAAAGAACTTTTCTTTCTTTGGAAACTCCCACCTTTAGCCAACAGGTCGCAATGGATCGATATAAAGAAGTGGGGGGTCTTTTTCTTCTTTATTTTAATTTGGCCAGCGTATAACCCAGGAAGATATAATGTAATCCCAGACAATGCATAAAAAATACTTAAATGGAAAATAAATGGACTGTAAATCGTATTTACTCACCGCATAATGACAGTCTTGAAAGACGTTAAAGATAACCGACAATCATAAAATTTTGCAGAAATGCAATTACACTTCTTTTCGTGCTCTGTTCATATCTTTACATTTTTAATTCCATAATTTTAAACTTATTTAACTTTATAATTAATTAATTTATACATAAAGTGTAAAATTTAACATTAATTCGTCAAAAACTTCGTAATGTTGTTGACGAAATAGTGTGGGAGTCTTTTTCTTCATTATTTTTATTTGGCCAGAGGATAACCAGTGAAAATATAATGTAATCCCAGACAAGGCATAAAAATACTTAAAGGGAAAGTAAACGGACTGTAAATCTTATTTACTTACCACATAATGACAGTCTTAAAAAACAAACCGATGTGTTAAAGATAACCTACAATCATGCAATTTTGCAGAAAGGCAATTACACTTCCTTTCGTGCTCTGTTCATATCTTCACATTTTTAATTCCATAATTTTAAACTTATACTTCAAAACTTATTTAACTTTATAATTAATTAATTTGTGTGTAAAATTAAACATTAATTCGTCAACAGCTTTGTGATGTTGATGTCGTTGGCTAATTGTAAAATAGAGAGCTTTGCAGAGTATTCTTCGTGACCTACAAGACTCAGTATAGTAAGAAGGAATCTAAAAAAAATTTTCTTCATCTGCTCTTCATCTTAATTGATACTGCGCTGGATATAGCACTATCTAGTATGATGCAATGAAATAGGCTTTGATGCTTTTAAATCCACCTTCCTCAAAAGTAATTCAGATTTTTGTGATGTTTTTGTTTTGCCTCACTTAAAAATCCATTTGCCGCCTCTGATGTGCACCCTTTTTTAATTCAGTTTTTTGTACTTTAAGGGTGGTCATTGTAGATCACTCAGTTTATATGATTTAAATATATCATGTAACATAAAATGCATCAAATAAATAAATGGGTGTTTACACAAATCTGGGAATATTTGAAGCATGAATTTTTCTAAAAATGCTTTGTTAAAAAATTTGAAAAAAAAAAATCATTATTAAAATACTACAAATGCTCATTAATAATAATGTATAATCCGCAGAGTTTAAAAATGTGTATTTCATTTCACTTTCGTGTCCACATACTTAAATGACAAAAGAAAATTTGTTAATGACCTTCGAGAACATATGTATTTTAAGACAAAATTTAAGTTTATTAGCACTAATTAGGCTTAATCTAGCATGAGTAAAGCAAAATTAGCACTTATTAGGATAGTAAAAATTCTACACAATGCAACACAATCTTAAAAAATTAAATTTTTCTTCGACCATAATAGTCAAATTGAGACTATTATTGTAAAAATTAGGCTTAACCTAGCATGAGAAAGCAAAATTAGTACATATAAGGTAGATAAAAATTCTACAAAAAAAATTTAACTAAGGATTTGCTACTTTATTCAAATTTTTTATATACTTTAAAATGAATAGAATAGTTGAAAATTTAAAAAAAAATCTGAAAATCTCTTTACAGTCTATGAGTAAGTAATAAAAACTAGGCTTAGTCCAGCATGAGAAAACAAAATTAGCACAAATAAGCTAGATAAAAATTCTACAAAAAAATTTACCTAAGGACTTGCTATTTTATTTAAACTTTTTGTACCTTTTAAAATGAATAGAATAGTTGAGAATTTAAAAAAAAAATCTGAAAATCTCTTTACAGTCTATGAGTAATTAATAAGAGTTTTTGGAAATTAAGAATTTAATTATTTTTTAAATTTTTCTAGTCTTTTAAATTTTTTACTTTTCAAATTTAACAATCAATATAGGCTGATAACAGTTATTCATAAAATAATTTTTAATAAAACTGTTAACAAACAACAGCTAATTAAAGTGCTTAATTAAATATTAGGTGGCTAAAGCAATTTTATATTCATAACGTAACAAAAATAACTGTTCGAAACACAAATATTTACAAATTTTTAAATAACGATTTAGATCAGATGTTTTTAAAACAAGAATTTTTATTAATTTCAAATGAACGCACTGCACCGTTTGCCAGCAAGATAAAAAGTTTCAGACTTTTGACTTAGATTTGCTCAGTTTTATGAAAGCATTTATGTATTAAAAATAAAGCGAATAAAAAATTAGCTAAATTTGATTTTTAATTCGATAAAGCTAAAGCAACTCCGACTTAGAATAGGAATTTTAAAGAAAGACCTGTCAATCAAAAAACGTGCTCTTAACAAGGAAAAATAAGATAATGAGTATAATTCTAGGCCACAAAACAGAAAGAAAGTATAAAAGGTTGTTTTGAGTATTTTATCTACGCCCCCACATAGATCACGAAATCACCATAAACAATTTTCTCTTCATTTTTAACTCGGAAATTCGTTTGAATTCTCTATATTAATGTCACGAATAAGTCGCATTGTTCTTTGTCACCCTTTGTTCACACTTGAAAGATTAAAGATATACGGCAGAACAAGCTGTTGAACAATGATGATTTGATTGAGTAATCATGCATTTAGTTATTTCTTTTTACTTTACCTTTCCGCAAATTGTACAAAATCCCTGTTCGACAATTAATTATCGTTTTCTTATTCTATTGTTACGAGTAAAATACCAAAGAGAATTATCTACTGAAACAATGTTTCTTCTTTGAGGGAGCATATCTTAATTTAATTAAAAAAATATTTTTTCACTGTTTTAAGGATTTTATTTATATTTTATTATCCGATCAATTTATTCTATAATTTAAACTTATTTTTCCTTTTCTGCAATTTATATAAAATCCCTTTAAAAGAATTCATTATCGTGGTTTTCTTTCAATTGTTACGTGTAAAACGCAGACGTAAAGTAAATAATTTTTTTTCTCCAACTTTTATGCCTTCGGTATCGTCTGCCAATTCATTTACAGAAATAAACAATTTTAATCTTTCTGCTACAGCTTGCTTAATGGAACAAAAAGTTAAATTAAAAAAATGAAATAAAAAAGTTTTTTATACTTATATCTTTTTTGTAGGTATTTCTAAAGGAAAAGAAATATTATGTTTTCTACTTTTTGTTCAGTATGAAAGGAAATCGAATTTTTTTAACAATGAAAAGTCGCTTGGTTTCGCTATTGCATATCTTTTTCAAATAAATAAAATTAATTCATTTATTGAACATTGTATAAATAACGCGAGTTTTATGGTTAGAAAAATATTGAAAAAATAAATTATTGTTCTCTATAAAAAACATTACAACAATAATGTTTCGTATCTGAATACCGATGTATCTTATTTTGTATGTAGATTATTTAATATGATATGAATAAAATACAGATTTTAAGAAGTATTTTTATATGCTGAATTAAAGTTAGAAGCTTAATAAGAAAAGTAAAGAGATAAGCACATGCAAAGTGACTTGACCAATCAAAACAGAATAATTACTTTGAATAAGATAATAAAAAAAAGAGTGATAAGAAACGGGCGTGAGAATTTTGACTTATCGAAATAAGGATATTAAACGATTTTTCGTTGCCGTACATAGTTGAAATTCTAATTATAGGTTTGAATTTTCTTCCGCTAATATCATTCAGCATTTCTCTTCATGTACTGATCTTGATTTCTGGGAATCATTCCATATTTTAAAAAATTCTAATAATTTAGTTTCTTCCAGTACCCAAACCTTTTCCAACTTACGGAAATCTATTCTAATTGAATTTTTTGCCCCCCCCCTGAAGTTCCCTCCAACTTCCCTTATGCCTGTTACTTTTTATTATCTTGTTCAAACTTGTCCCTCTGTTCTGATTGGTTAAATCACTTTTCCCGTGCCTATCTCCCTATTTTTCTAATGTGTTCTGTTGTTTAGACACTGAGAAGGGTTTTGTCTAAAGAACCAAAACTATAGTATGCCAATCTTTGTATTCGATTTGCGTTTTATTTATGATAAGATTTTAATGAAATCGCCGTTTGACTTACTTATTTTAATGATTGAAAAGAGCCGTATCTTACCATCTCTTAATAATATCTTATAAAATTAAATCTATTATATAATATATTAAATTTTGTTACGAATTTATTAGAACACTATGAATAAATTTTTTTTGTTAATTTTTATATTTGATAAAGATCATTAACAATTTGTAATAAGTGGTTGATAACATAATTATAATTTTTTTTTAAAAAATAGCACCGAATTTGATAGATTTATTTTTGGATAGCTAAGATGCAATGTGAATTCGTGATTACGGTGATTTGGTGATTATTTGGTGAATAATATATAAATTCGGTGTCATTTAGATATTGGAAATATATATATATATATATATATATATATATATATGAGATAAAAGGAGATAAAAAATATTATGCGAAAATAAACAATTCTTAAAAATAACATCTAACAGCAGTAAAAACATTATTGGCGAATAAAAAATAAATTTGCAAGTGAGTAATTTTATAATTTAAGTTTAGAGCAATTTAAAAAATTTTGTTAAATTTTTCTGTTGTTAACAATTTTACTTGATTTCTCCTTTAAAATTTTTTTTTTGTTTTGGATAATTTAACGAAACATTTTCTTTTCAAATTATCTTTAAAAAAGAAGAAAAATTTTAATTAGAATAAGTAAACAAAAAGCTTTCTCAATATATTTTTTGTTAATACTACAAGTTAATGAACTACACTATTATTTTTGATCAATTTACATGTGTGAAAGTGCAATGAACTTTCTTAAAGAAGTTATTCATGAAATCCGCAAGAAAGCAACAAAACAGTTAATTTAACGCATTTATTCAACCCTTTTGTGTACATTATAGTTCAGTCCTGATTATTACGATGATTGATTAACAAAAATTGATTAAATGCCGTGAAAATAGGGAATTGTATTTCTAAATTGTTCATTTTGAGTTTTAAGATTAAATAAACAATGTGTATGTCAGAAATTCTATTCGAAGTGTCATTCGATTTTTTTTCAATTTTGCTTCTTCTTAAAATCTGATTTTTAAGATCTAAGTAGTTGTAATTATCGAAGATAGATGTGCATGAAGTTCCTAATTTCAGTTATTTAATTTTAAGATGAAGATGAAAGAATGAACAATCAAGATTCTCTGCCGATGAAAAGAAGAAATATTAAGAAGAAATTCTATTCGAAGAGTCATTCAATTTTTCTATATTTTGATTTTATCAGATTTTCAAAATGCATGTGGTACTAATTATCGAGTATAAGGGTGCATAAAATATTTAAGCACAGTTATATGATTTTAAGATGAACACGAATTTATAAATAAACAACGTATAGGTCAGAAATTCTGTTCAAAAAGACATTCAATTTTTTTTTTGCAATTTTATTTTCTTGTCTGATATTTAAAATTAAATTAGTTGTAATGATCGAATATAATTGTGCATAAAGCTTTAAGGACAACTATATGAGTTTAAGATGAAGATGAAAATCTGAACAGAAATTGTGTCTGTCAGAAATTCTATTCGAAGAGTAATTCAATTTTTCTATATTTTGATTTTATCAGATTTTCAAAATCTAAGTAGTCGTAATTATCGAGTATAAGTGTGCTTAAAATATTTAAGCACAGTTATATGATTTTAAAATGAACATGAATTTATAAATAAACAACGTATATGTCAGAAATTCTGTTCAAAAAGACATTTTTTTTTCTGCAATTTTATTTTCCTGTCTGATCTTTAAAACTAAATTAGTTGTAATGATCGAATATAATTGTGCATGAAACTTTAAGGACAACTATATGAGTTCAAGATGAAGATGAAAATATGAACAGACATTGCGTCTGTCAGAAATTTTCTTCGAAGAGTCATTCAATTTTTGTCAGATTTTTTATATCTAAGTAGTTACAATTATCGAATATAATTGTGCATGAAATTTTTAAGCACAATTATATGATTTTAAGAAGAAGATGAATATATGATTAAACAAGATGTCTGTCAGGAATTTTTTCTGAAGAATCATTTGATTTTTTTTCCATTTTACTTTTCCGTCTAATTTTTAAAATCTAAGCAGTTGTAATTATCAAAAATGTATTAAATTTTAAAGCAGAATTAGATGATTTTAAGATGAAGATGAATAAACAAGGTTTTTTTTTTATTTTAACTTTTTTGCCTGCTTTAAAAATCGTTTAAAACTGGTTGCAATAGTCAAGTATAATTGTACGTAAAATTTTTAAAAATTTGTTGATATACTTAAAAAGTATATCCAAGTCATGTAATACTGTTGTGAAAAACGTTGAAAGAATAAATAAATAAAAATCGTACATAAATAATTGAGAAAGATTTTCGGTTTTTAGAATGGAACAAAAACTACTCATTTATATACATATTGGGTTAAAATTATGTAGTTGAAGATATATTTTTATATTTAAGGAAAAGATAAAGAAACCTAAAAAAGAATTAATAAATGATTATTCCTTAATTTAAAACATAGATTTTTACAAAAATGAAATTTAGGACTAAGTAAAATATATTATATAATATAATAGATTATATTATATACACTATATGATACATATAAAATATATTTTTATATTTAAAGAAAGGATAAAGAAACCAAAAAAATTTGATTAATAAATGTTTGTTAGTTAATTAAAAATTCAACATTTTCGTAAAGAAAATATTTTCACAAAAATATTAATATAATGCAAAAAAATATTTGGTACCAAATAGAATTTAAATTAATAAAAGTAATTAAAAATGTAAAATTTTTAAAAAAAAATATTTTCGCAACATTGAAATTTTGTACCAAATAGATTGAAAATTAATTAAAATAATTAAAGACAATATTTATTTTTAAAAAATTTAGTTTTACAAAAATTGAAATTCTATTTGGTAATATCCAAACAGAATTTAAATTAATTAAAATCATCAAAAACTTAAAATTTTTGAAAAAAAAAATATTTTCACGAAATTGAATTTTTGTACCTAATAGAATTTATATAAGAATAAAAATATTAAATATATTACCTGATCAAACCACTGCCTTAAGGCTCCAGACCGGCGATAAGTTGTATGATAGCAATTAAGAGCATGTTCATAACGTTCTGGTGTTTGCATGTCAGTAAAAATGAAGGTTACGGCCTAAAATTAGAGATAGAAAAGTATTTAAAGCTTTGATCAAATATTCAACATACATTTCGCGTGCCTGGAGTATTCTTTATTCGAATATAAAAAAAAGTTTCTTTTGAATATTCTTAATATGATACATGAAGAACCTCGAAACAAAAGAGAAGAATTAAGAATTTAAATAAGAAACCTTGAATTTAAATATAGAAGAAAAATATCTTATGATAGATAAGACATTAACCTAAAAACAAATACTTAACATAACGACTGAAGATGAAATGTATATCGATCTTAGATTTGCAGATAAGTATAGTAAAAAGAAACTAAAGTTTTATGTAGAATGCTAAAAAAAGTGGATTTTTGTAATTTTTTTCATTTCCTTAAATGAGAAAAATTTTATTTCTCACAAAAGTATTATTATTTAGTAATGAACTAATGCTAAGAGAAAACTGCATCGAAAAATAATTAAAAATAACGTTCTTTTATTTCACTTATAAAATGCTTCCTAATTTTCTTAAGTTCATACTACATTTCAATGAGATTTTTTTTAATTTAATTCATATTTATTTTACTTTCAATTGGAAAGCAATAAATAATAATTCTTTAAACAATATTACACATTGTTTAAAGAACATTACAAATTACAATTTAAGCAATTTTGTGAATTACAGATGGAATATCAATGAGATTGTCGCAAAAAATTTGTTCTTTGAAGTAAATTAATTGATCGCATTGAAAAGAAACGCAGACAAGTTTTTCTATAGCGGACGCTCCTAAATATATTGACTCTAAGAAGTTATAGATAATAATTCATTAAACAATCTTGCACTTTTTATTAATGTAGGAATACCAATGTGACTTTTATGAAAAAGATTTATTCTTCCTTCAAAGTAGATCAATCACATTGATAAGAAACACATACAAGAATTTCTGTAGTTACTGCCCTTAAATACTAGTAGTACTGTCTCTGTAGTTACTGTCTCCAAAAAGAATTTATATTAAAAATCCTAAATTACTATTTTAAATAGAAAAACACGAAAATGTAAGCTAAATATGAAGAATAATATTAGAATTCAAATTCAACGACCTCGGACTTCTAAAAGAGAGTCCAAGCTCATTTCTAATCCCCACAATGATCTAAAAATACATATTTATGTATAATTCAGTTGAAAGTTACGTATAATGCATTGCTTTTATTAATGCAAATTATTCTGAATTAATCTCTTAGTTTACGTTCTGGAAATTTTATTGCATTGTCTATTATAATTCAAAGTCCAACTAAATTGGTAAAATTGAACAAAATAAAAAATTCTTAGAACCAAATTGCAGTAACATTAATTTAGTTTTCCTACTTTTTTAATATTTATGATCGCTACACTGAGAACAAAAGTATGGTAAAAACTATTAGAATACGGTAAATTTTACCATGTTTCTGGCTCAATAGGAACGCCAAAAAAGCTCGGTAATTTTACCGTAATGCTTTGGTAATAATTTTGGTAAAATTAATTATAAAATATGGTTCATAATCTGTGACAAAATTTGGTAAATATGGTAAACTAAACTAAACTCAGTGGTACGACACTCCATAGAGGGCCAATGCCTACTGTGTCCATCCCAGTTTTCTTGACTTTTATGTTATGGGGTGCAAGAGGAGATGTTCCGGTTTGGCTGTCAGTCCAACTCGGAACACCCAGTGGTTAGTTCCCAAGCATGCTTGGTAGTCATTTTATCGACCCACTGAAGGGATAAAGAGCTGAGTCAACCTTGCCCGGCCCGAGGATCGAACCGAGAAACTGTGGCAAGACCGAGTGAAGGGCAACCATTTAGCTACTGGGTGTCAAATGTGGTAAAATTTGGTAATTTTAACATGATACCTTAGAGCATGGCACAACTATTTATTCAGTATAATTTACTTTTTAGTTTTGTATTTCTTACTAAATGCGTGGTAATAAGAACTATAATTTATAAAATCAGAGTTTTCGGTAAACCGTTAGCATATGAACGGAAAAATCACCAAATGAATGGTTTAAATGCCGTATATACCTGTTTTATAATCTAGAATAATGCTTTTTTTTCTTTTTTTCCTTTTTTAAACCGGCAATGTCATTATCATACGGTGCTATAATTTCACCAGAAAATTGACTTTTCCGTGCACTTTCTTGAAGATAATTCAACAAGTCTTTAGACCAGTGATTCTCAACTACTGTGCCGTGGCGCTTTTGTGTGCCGCCAAATTCTAAAAATGTGCCGCCAAATATTAGAAATGATACAATAAAAATTATAATGCTTTTTTTTATTACGAGTAAAGTTTAAATTAAAGAAAAGTGTATATAAATATAATGTGTATGTATATATATATATAAAATATTATATATCTATACACATTATATAATTTTTCCATGCTTTAACTGTTTAAACATCTTTGTCGGCGATTGTCTTGCCTCGAACAATCTCTTAAAATAAGAACGAAGTGTTTAAATTGTCTTTGACAATTTAAAAAAATGTTGAAATACGTAGGAAATTTAATTATTATTAAAATTATTAATTAACAAAGGAAAGCAAGCTAAATATTAACCTTCAAACTTAAATAAAAGCTAATCATTAAAGTAAGCTATGCAATTAAAAGTTATAAAACCAAATTAACAAAGGATAACTAACAAAAAATAAGCTAACAATTAATAATCAGCAAAAAAACTAGTTGACAGGAAATCACAAAAAAATAACAGTTAATAGCAAAAGAAAACAAGCTAACAATTAATAACCAGCAAAAAAATAACTCTTACTAACTAATAAAAAATTAGTCAAAAGAAATAATAAATCCCTTAATAAACATGCTTTTGTAGTACACATTATTTTATTTCACATTCAAGATTATTATCACAAACTATTTAACACAGTGTATTATAGGTATGTAAACAACTTTTAAACTAATTTTTTTCATTGTGTGCCGTCAAATTTCGAAATCGTTAAAAGTGTTCCGCCCTAAAAAAAGGTTGAGAATCACTGCTTTAGACCTTTATTTTTAATTATTATAGGAATATGTCTCTTTTTTTTGAATTAGCTCAATAATTTAGCTATTTTCAACTTTCTTTTAATTTTTACTTTCTTTATTAACCTTTTAAGATTTTATTTTATTTGATACATAAATAAAATCTTAAGTGCTAATAGTGCAAAAGGAAAAATTAATGTTCACGGAAGTTTTTCTTTTCTTTCACAAAGGCGTAGTTTTTGTTATACATGTTTTAAAGGTTAGAAATTTATAAAAATGTTTGCTTTCAAAATGATGATAAGAGCAGTTTTCACCTATAATAATCCGATATTATAATAGGATAATAGGATGGGCGTGAACCAGTTATTTAAACAGTTTCTAATTTTGGAAGCAAATATCTATCCGAGTACACAAGATATTTTTAAATTATCGATTTTTGTGAAAATGACGCGTGGTTTTTACCATTTATCTGAACATAATTAAAATAAATCATTCATTATTATTTTTAACAATAAGAAATAATAAGTAAATATTGGTTAGCAAGAAAGTAATTACGGTTTTTTATTGTGAAATGAAACTTAATTTATCTATGCCAAAAATTAACTTTAATCAGTGATATATCTTCCATTCTGTTCGATGACCTTTTGTCATCTTAGAACAATTTCTTGATTCCTCACTGGAAAAATCTCCAGATCAAATTACGATATTTACGTGGATTACCGGCACCCTAAATTGCATCACCCAAAAAAATCAATTTAACGTAAAATACCGTATTTTTAAAGTAAAATATCGTAATACAGTAATTTTGCAATAATATATAATTTATTAGAATTATTGAGTAATTTTGTGCTAATTATTACTGTATAAATGACGGTATATAAAATTTTTTGTTCCGTAACATGTTTTGATAAAAATGGATTTAATGGTAAAAAGATTTAATGGTTACCCTGATTGCCGGTACTTTTTACCATAGTTCGATCCAGAATTTTTTATTCAATGTGTGCTCATAGAACTTATAAGCAAATATTTCAACCAAGTGTGATTTGAGGTCATCGTTATTACTAAATTTTCACAATTTAAAAAATTTTGTATATTTCACAAAAAAAAAATGATAATCCAATTATGCAAGGTCACTGCTGTATGGGAGATCGCACATGGTAAAGAAAACCGTGTTTTACTACGATAATGCGTTTTCAGCAGCACATACGAAATTATTATAGCTTTGTTGGGAAGTGGCGTCACATCCCCCGTATAGCCCCAACCTTGCATCATCGGAATAATCATGTATTCAAAGTTTACAAAAAGTTTTAAACTGCAAAAATTTTAATAACAACTATGTTAACGCACTATAAAACGCACTTAGCTGAGTTTTTGATGATAGGGACTAAATGTTCTATGATCCATAGTTACCAAAAAAGTGGCAAAAGTCATCGAACAGAAGGAAAGATATTTGGCTGATTACTTTTTTTATGCCAGAAAAAAAATCGAATAAACCAAAAAAAAACGAAATATCTATTTTGTCCACCCATTATCTTTTTTTTTAAAAAAAATATATGCAAATTATTTATATATTAATGAAGATTTTTATCTAGCATTGTCCATTTGTAACTTTATGTTCAATAAAATTCATTAAACTTATACGACAAATACTCGCATTCACAAATTTTCAATTATGCTACAATCCACATCAAATTAACATTTCTTTTATTGTAAATATATATCTTCTTAGTTAATAAACACAAAGGTATTGTAGAAGTAATTAGTTATAGAAATAATTTTATCAATATTTTACCTATGATTAATAGTAACGCTTCATAAATTCATGCAACAAAAATGTGAGGGGAAATAGTATAGATATAAAAATAAAATAACAATGCAAATCCAATTTATAAATTATAATACAGTATAAATATAAGAAGGCAGTACCAGTTTTTTTGAATCTTATACTTGATTTTTTTTGTAATGAATGTCAATGAATTATTTATCAGCACATGCAAATTCAATATAGCACGCAATGCAATAGGCG